ATTATAAAAAAAAAAAAAAAGGAGTTTGGTAATTGGAGGTGAAGATGGATCATGATTCTTCATTGCAGGACCACATCCACTATCCATTTAATTAATCCCCTTAATCATGTCATTTTTTTTTATATTAATTTTTGATATTAAAGAAATCATCCACTAAAAAAATTAATATCAAATAAATAAATAATTAAGTAATCATATATATATATATATATGTTTCCCTCAAAAGAATAGTCTTGAGAGTTTTTTGGTAATCTAAAACTTTAATTATTTTAGTAACAAGCTCTTGATCCCATAGAAGATCAATATACTATAATTTTCCACGCGTCAAAAAGTTATTAGTAGGAACATGATTACCTAATGTAACCATTTGAATATATGCATATGAAGTTATGTACAAAGGTCCCCATGATATTATTATTGTTACATATATAGACACACATTCTCTCTATTGATCTCTAGCCATTAACATTGATAAAGTACAAGAAGAGAAAGAAAGCATCATATCGACGGCGAAAAATCGCGACTGGTAGTGCGCAATTCGATGGAAGTTGGCAGGAAAATAATCGACATGCTCTGGCTGGAAGAGCATGGTTTAAATCTTAAAGAAACTGAGCTGTGCCTTGGCCTGCCTGGTGGAGGTGAAAGTGAGTCCATCAAGATTACTGGAAAAAGAGGATTTTCTGAGACCGTTGATCTTAAGCTCAACCTTCAACCCAATGATTCAGATTTGGATCTGACGAAAACCATGAAAAATTCATCCATGGAAGGTTCCAATAATCCAGTCAAACCACCAGCCAAGTAAGTGTGTGTTTGAATGTTAATACATTAATAAATTATGCTTATATACATACACCTCAAATGTATGTTGATCCCTAACACTTGTACATTGTAGTAACATTTGTTGGAATCTTGTTGTTCAAAATTGAAATTGGATGAAAGAAGAAAAGAAAAATGAAAAACATAGGCCAAAAATTGGCCTATGTGGTCGCATAAGCCATTTAGGCTTGCGGCCGCCGCATCAACCATGCAGAACATTTTGGTGGGGGCCAAGTCTAAAGCCATGCGGCCGCATAGTTGAAATTTCTACCAACGATTGGCAGATTTTTTAATTTCAAAAGTGGTACTAATTCGTATAGGGATGATTGTAGACTAAAAATACATGATCGTATTCATCCCTAAACAAAAATAAAAAATCATTCTCTCATCATCCAAGTTATCGAGAAAACTCATTATTCTCTCTACATATTCATTTCTTGGTTCTCACTTTGTTCAATTTGAAGATACTCATTTTGCTTTGGCGTTCTTCATCTATAGCTTGTTTATTCCTTCAACTATTTGTCGAAAAATCCTTAAAATAATTAGAAAATGAGACAAATATCATTTGAAACAACATTTTTATGTGGTCAAGTCTTCTTCAATATCAAACTATTCTTTGATCTTTTTTCATCTTCTTCTTCGTTTCTTCCATTGTTGTAAATACTCCAACAACATTTGTTTCAGTTCATTGAACTATCTCATCTAAAATATTAAAGTTTTACGTAAATTTAGTCTTCAACACGTCTCCTTATATGCATACCAGATTTATTTTTTCAATGTGAACAAATTGCATAAAAACTCTAAAAAGTTACACATATATACGTCTTTACTTGTGCTTTGCATTTTGTTCGTCTCGTTGTCATCCTTTTTGCAAATTATGCTCATTATAATTTTATTTTGTTTTTTGGATAATAAGATTATGTTCTTGGGGATTAAAATAAAATTTTTATCATATTTTGATAAAAGTCGATGAAATTTGTGATTAAAATATTATAGGTCTCATAAAATATATGGTTAAAATTAATTGATAAAAGTCTAAATTTTAATCTCTACCAAACAAGGGCGTCATATACTAAACTCAAAATTAGTGAAATTAAGTGATGCATGTACTTCATATGTACATATTCTTATATTTGAAATTGTAGATGCTAATTATCTAAATTTATATTTATAAAATTGGATTTTAGGGCACAAGTGGTGGGATGGCCACCGGTTCGATCCTTCCGCAAGAACATCATGGCTCAAAAGAACAACGTTAATGAAGAGTCTGAGAATTCTAAGGCTTGCACCTTAGCATTTGTTAAGGTTTCGATGGATGGTGCCCCATATCTTCGTAAGGTCGACTTGAAAATGTACAAAAATTACCAAGAACTCTCAGATGCCTTGGCCAAAATGTTCAGTTCCTTTACTATGGGTAAGCATATCATAATTCTGTCTAATTTTCGAGTTCGAAAGCTAGATTCTCGTGAAAATTGATAAATAATTATTATAAATGTATGTTTAGGTAATTATGGAGGTGAAGGAATGATAGATTTCATGAATAAGAGTAAGTTGATGGATCTGTTGAATAGTTCTGAATATGTTCCTACCTATGAAGATAAAGACGGGGACTGGATGCTCGTGGGTGATGTACCATGGGAGTAAGTTCGTAAAACCTACATATATACACGACAAACTAAGTTTTATTCTCTTCATAAATTTAGGGTGTGCGATGTATATATGGTTTTTTTGTCACTTCATACAATTTACTGCTAGAAGAATTGTTTAAAAATATATTTTAAGAAATATTTTAGTACCAATTTTTGAAATTCATAAAAGAAATATAAATAAATCAAATCTTTTTTTTTTCTTATAATTATGGGGTAATTAATTATGCAGGATGTTTGTTGATTCATGCAAGAGGCTTCGCATAATGAAAGGATCAGAAGCAATTGGACTTGGTATGCACCTTCTTAAAAGAAATATCCCTTTTTTTTTCTTAATACATTTGCTCAACAATCAATATTTATGTCCATTAATTATGTCTCTTTTTCATAAATCGATCTCTAGTATATATTAAGTAATTTCTTGATGATTTTTATCGTCGATTTCAGCCCCAAGAGCCATGGAAAAATGCAAGAGCAGATGCTAAATCGTGCTTACAAAGCTCGTTAGCCACGCGGCCCACGCCGATGGACCTATCGAGGTGCATGTAACATGTTCTCCTGTACCCAAGTGTGTGTATTTTTTTATTTTTTTTATTTTTGTTGTGTGTGTATGTATTTTGTTTTGCTTTATAATCTATAGTATACAGATATTGAAGATCTTGAACAATTGTAATGGACAAGTAGCAATGAATTCAATATACAGTGTCATAACTGTGACAGTTGTGTTGTCTCTTTTAATTTATTAAATTGTTTTGAATATTTAATTTTTTGATATATTGAAGGCTCTAATTCTAGGTTGATAGGGAACAAGGCCATGTGCATGTTCATGGAATTATTCCTTCATTATCAATTATTTATGATTCATATTTAAAGATCTTTTCTTTTTATAAGCTGACTATAACATTGTCCACTCTAATACATAACATATGCCTTTAGTAGTTGTTGGTTGGAACTGCGTAACTAAAATAGGAGAAAGCTGTTTTAAACATGAAATATTGTGAAAGCTGGCCCTATAAATAATTATACGATCAATTTAGTGCTATTTTTGTCAAAATATCGTGAAAGCTGGCCCCATTCCATTCATCAGCTTGATTGGGCAAAAACTTTGAGGGAAAAATTTACAGCTCAGGTATTATCTATTCCAAATTTAAAAATCAGGTCCCAAAAGTTTAAAATTGTAAAAATCAGGTTTTTCTTGAATTAATTAATTATATTTCACAATTATTATATTAAATTAAATATTTAACTGTAATATAATATAATATAATATACCCCGCCCCACATCCATCTCCACCTACCCCATTGCTCCAGCGACTACTTCGGCG